AAACATTTCTCAAAGTGTTTCCCCTAAATTCTTCCTTGATTTCTAAAGTATGTCTATCTTGCGTTTTAGATCTCTCCTTTTGGAAATACGTATGATAAAAACCATAGTGGTCAACTTTGGAGAGGATAGGCAATATTTTGTACTTACGTGGTGGTTATTGTTATAATTATTTGGCAGACATTGGGGGTGCCTACTTTTCAGCCTACAAATGCAACTTAAAAACATTCACAGACATACTTTTTATTTTTCTTTCTACTTATCAGCTGCAACAGTGCTTTTGAAATCTATAAAGAATGTGCTCCTTTAAGAGCCTTGCTTAGGATTGATTATCAAAGCTTCCTTTCGGGTCATTTTGGAATCTTGACGTGAGAAACGCAAGGAACTCTTCCCTTGATCTACTCTCACACTGGATCTGCCCCACTGTGTAACTATAAGCAGGCTAGGGAGTAGTCACATTTTTACTGTCAGCCTAGTACACTCTCTGACCCATGTAACAGCTGTGCCACTGAAGACGAGAATCCACGGGAATACCAATGAGATGTCTGTGATAGCTGTTCCAGGCTTGCTGGAACAAATGCAGAACTTCTGTTAGTACTATTCATGTTTTTGCTAAATGTGCACACAGAAATTTGCATTGAAATTGTTAGCATCGTGACTGTAAGAGGGATCTTATTATCTTAGCATAAATCATTACTCCTGAAGAAAATACAAATCTTGCTCTTGATTTTCTTTCTTTTTATGATTTCTTTGGGAGTTGAAGATGTGTGCTAACTTGCTGGAGAGTTTTGCCTTCTTTTTGCATGACTCAAAGTTATTGCAATCATTTACTGATTTACATCAAATTAGGTACATGTATGAATATGCATATGGATTAATTTTTGTACATGCATTCACGCATGCCTACATTGCTTTTGGGGTTGTCTATATGTGTGCGTAAGTTTATGTACTTTGGAGAAACTTTGCAAAGATATTTAAAAGAAAATATATTTACATCCATCCCTAAATTGATGGTGAAAGTTCCCTTTCATGTGTCTCTCTACGTAAGGACTTTTGCCACAAGTTATTTCACCTCTAGAAAATACATTCTTACCTAATTGCACATGTTTTCTAGATTCCTTTTATATCCAATGGCAAGCATTCCAGTCTGTGATCCTGGAATGCAGTAAAATTATCCATCTTTATAAGGAAATCTTCAATCTTGTCTAAATTAATTCTAGTTAGGAAATCAAGTGCAACTTAGTTGCATACAGTTGCATACGGCAGCTCCTCTTTTTCTTAAATTAATCAAAGTCCAATCCATTCCTCTGTGGCCTCTTCCTTGGGCCCCCTTTTTCTAGAGCTTGCTGGCTGGTCTCACCACTCCACCTTTTCTCTGCTGCAGCTGCCGGTGTGTCGTCTTAGCACTGTGAAACTGGTCCTGCGGTCCCCATGCTCAGTCCCCTCCATGACTTTCACAAATTCCTGGAATCAAGCAGCTCTTCCTCATGGCCCAGGAAGCTTTTCCAGCTCCTTCAGTATCCCCTGCTGCTGCCTTCTCCCACCTCCTCCACACCAGGGCAGATTCTAGGGCCTCCCACACACCCATCTCCTCCCGACCTTACAGCCCTCACCATGTCCTTCCCTCTCCCTGAGACATCTCTCCCCACATCCCACAGGACTGCCTTTTAAAATGATGTCCAGTTTCAACATCAACGTGACCTCTTCAAAGAGGACTTCTCGGATCATCTAAAGTAAAATTTTTCTCTTTTCAAAGCATCCTGTTTTTCCTCTTACATACATTTTGTACTTGTAATTTCTTATTTTTGTCCTAACTTCTCCCCTGCATAGGGAAGGTCACAAACATCTTTCCTTTTTTCCTCTTTGTGCTAAACCTCTAGCACAATGGCCGACAAAGAAGGTGAGCAAGGGAAATTTGGCCCATTATTGAATAGATGTCATCAGATGTTTCCATTATCCACTGGAATTCCTCCTGTTCCCCAGTGGTTATCATGCCAGCTTTTGCTTCTGACTTATCAGCTGTGTGACCCTAGAAAAAGTCCATGTCCTCTCTGGGCCTCAAGTTCTTCATCTATTAAATAAGGATGCTATAACAATGAATGCCAAAATGTTTTAAAATGTTATTCAGCAGAAGAACCTTCCTCAGAAAGAAATATGTGAACGAGAACTCTGATTCCTAAAGCGAAGGAAAGCTGAGCATCTTTGCTGAGAACAGCACGGACAGACCCAGGGCCCTTCACACTCACCGGCATCCCTCCCTCCCCCAGCCCCAAGGGAAGCTGGTAGGAAGTTACGTGGTCTCTGTGGCCCCTAGATGTGTTACTAAGGGCACTAATGAGGCACACTTAGCTGCAGAGGAGATACTGGGCCAAATTCCCCTCGTTTTTTAAATTCCCTCAGCCACTCTATGAAGTATATACTGTCTTTCATCACATAGAGAATGAAAAGCAACTTCATGATGTTAAGATAGAAAACTATTCGAGAACTCACAGATTGGAAGATGTACAACTGGGGTTTAAACACTGTTGTTCAACCAGCTGAATACAAATAATTGATGTTTCAGAGGTAGATGAGCTTGCATTTTCTAACATTCGAAGTAGCGATCTCAAATTAATGTCTAAGATATTTACCTGAATTTGCATGACCGATGAAAGCAGAATTAAAAACTGCCTGGATCAAGACCACCAGTACCTTCGCCTAAGGGCTATGCCGAAGGCAGCGTCGCTTCTTCTATTGTCATGCCTCTCTCTGAGACCTGTCAGTCTAGGTAGCGCTTGGTGCCTATGAGACTCCGCAAAGTGGAACTCAGTGTATAATGTTAAAAAGTTGATATCAAACAATTTCAAAATTGTTTTGACAACCCAGGAAACACCGGCATAGCTGAAACATTATGACTTCTATTTTTATCAACAAAAAGTACCAGTGTTTGGATGCAACTCTTGAAAGATTCAAGTAGATAATTCTGACACATCAAAGCCTTAAAGCTATGCCTCTAACCCAACATTAAATAACTAATTTTAGTAAAACTGTATTATATGCTTAGTGTAGGTTAATGCTGAAAGATATTTGGAAATATGTTTCCTTTAAAGGTTGCAAAGTAGTTAAAACAATGAATTCAGAGTGTTTGAGTTTGTGCATCTTGGTGGGGAAGGTACAGGCTTGTTGTTGATATTTCTGAAATCTAGATTTCTTTTTTTTTTTCGAGACAGGGCCTAGCCCCGTCACCCAGGCTGGCGTGTAGTGGCACTATCATGGCTCACTGCAGCCTCAAACCCAAACCCCTAGGTTTAAATAATCGTCTCCCCTCAACCTCCCAAGTAACTGGGACTACAGGACACATCACCATGCCCAGCTAATGGAGTATTTTACAAATTAGTTTTTAGTAAACATGCATCTATTGTAATATTGTGTTTCCTGCTTATAGAAATGGTTTGAACTCCAGTGCCATAAAGCTTGCTGCCATGCCACCAGTCTAGCTAGAGTCCATAAAAAAAAAATTCTGACCTTTCAACATGCCCACTACTCAATTTGTGTTTCTATTATTGTGTGTGTGTATGTGTATTTTTGTTTGTTTGTTTTTGAGACAGAGTCTTGCTCCGTTGTCTAGGTTGGAGTACAGTGGCTCAATTTCGGCTCACTGCAACCTCCACCTCCTGGGTTTAAGCAATTCTCATGCCTCAGCTTCCTGAGTAGCTGAGATTACAGGCGTGTGCCACCATGCCTGGCTAATTTTTTTTGTATTTTTAGTAGAGGTGAGGTTTTGCCGCATTGGTCAGGCTGGTCTTGAACTCCTGACCTCAAGTGATCCACCTGCCACAGCCTCCCTGTGCTGGGATTACAGGTGTAAGCCACCACACCAGCCTGTGTTTCTATTATTAATGCATTAGATTTTGAAAATCTGGGGAGAAAATAAACCGACTTTATGAACTCATGGGAAAGATTATACTTTGCAAAATATCCACTAATATCAGAAAAGATAGTCCTAAATTTAGTTTTATTAAAACTGTTTAGTGTTTTTTACACTACATTTACTAGATAAGCAGAAATATTTATGTTCAAATTATTTAGCAATGGTATATACTATTAATAATATATAATACAGATACAAATACAAAATGCAAATATAGAGTACATACATGAATACAAATAATAATTATTAAAACTTTACTAGGAGTATCAAAGAGCTCACATTGATAAGAATATTCTTATTCTGCTCTTCTGTGTGTGATATTAAAAAAACACTACTACCATATTACATCAAATCTCTACTTTTCTGAGCGTATTCTGTGTACATAAAATTAAAATTGCACATTTCTAATTTGAAAATAATGGATTTTCATTTAATTGAAGAATCCAAATTTATCTTTTTTATTTGAAATGTTGCATAGTCTTTAAACTTTCATGACATATTAAATTGAATAGGAAAGCTTTTTTTGTGACAGTTATTTTAATCTCATAGCTACCTTAATCTTAAAAGTAATGTAGAGCGGAATAGAAAGATCTGGAGTCTACCTTTAAAACCTGGCCTCATTTTACATGAATGCAGAATCTAAATTCCATACACATTTCTTCCTTACCATGCCAACAATGGTAACATGAAAAGTTTTGCTTTAGCTTAGGGAACACTGCAAATATATGAGGTGTTCCACTGCCTATCTTTCAGAGGACTGAGAACAGTACAGAGCTGTCTAAATTATCAGTAGGGAATAAGAAGAGTCAACATGCTGAACTCATCTTGACAGACCTAATGCCTGGGCTGACAGACAGGGTGTGTGCACCTGCACGCTGGGGAGTATAGCACAAAAATTCTCATCTGAATACATTACTTTGTGGCTTTGGATTCCTTTTTTTCTTTTTCATTGAACCATTTCATCTTTTAATAACAGTTCCTAACTCAGGTTGTCTTCAAATTGTTGACAGGTAATTGAAAGTGGAACATCCAACTGTGAAGAAAGTTGATTGGAAAGCAATTAGAATTGATCATATTTTCTGTTCTTCCCCAGGTCAAGCTAATGCCTCCTGCCCCAAACGATGACCTGGCAACGCTCAGCGAGCTCAATGATGGCAGCCTGCTCTATGAGATTCAGAAGCGCTTCGGAAACAATCAGATCTATGTGAGTGCCCTGGAGATTGCCTTTTGAACTGCTTTTGTCTTGCTGCATGTTTTTATCACCCTTCAGTGCTTCAAATGTTGCAAGTAAAGGGCTCACTGGAGCTTCTGGTCATGGTGATAGCTTAAGTTGAATTTTTCAAGGTGAGTTTAGCTTCATTCTGGCTCAGTTCTAAAGCAAATTCAGCACAGTTCCAAAATTTGGAGTTAGGCATAAACTAATACCCTGTGGACAGACACAAGTACTGCTATTAAACTTTCCTGTTGTCATGATTGCTGTGGAAGATCTTGCTAGAACCAGCAGGATCTGCATATGACTTATAAAATTGCTGTCTGTCTCCTCTACTTTTCTTGAACCTGCTAGATCGGGAACAGGAAGCAAAAGAGCATATATTGACTATGCATGTACGACTGCCTCTCTATTTGCATGAGAAGAGAAACTGTTGTGGCTCAGAATTGCCAGGAAATGTCTTTGTAAAGTTAATAATTTATGCACAGATTCCTGATAGTAGAATCCAAAAATATTACTCAAACGACAGCATGGAGAATTTATTTACTGTGGTTCTATCCTCATTTGTGTGTTACTTTCCCAACACTGATAACAGTTTAGACACCTTGTAATATCAAAATCAATCTCTTTCTCTTTCTTTTTCTCTCCCACTCTCTGATTTTGTTATATTCTACACAGAGCACAGAGCAATTCAATCAGAATGTCTATAAAGAAATCTGATTATGCATATACCTGCTGTCCCTTTTTGATAACACTTTTGTTTTCTAGTCTACTGAGAAACTGATTAAGTAATTTTCATGTAAATGTGAAGTCTGAGATTTCCTTACAAGTAATAAATTGTCAAATGCTGATTAGCCTATGAAAATGCAATGTAGCATCGTAATGCTTAGATAAATTGCCTGCCACTGTAAATACACTTAAAATTAAATACTTCTGTCAAAATTAATGAAATCATGTCATTAGCATAAAGTGGTAAGAGCTGATTACTTTGGTCTCTGTTATCACTCTGTTACTTTTGTAAAGTGTGTATTTTTATTCCATTTTTTCATCTTTTTCCCAGTATTGCGTTGATTTTTTTTTTACTCGTAATTATGGAAGCCTAGAAGACCATTGCTTAAATTGTTTTGTCTTTCTTTACCCATTTGTGCCTTTAAAGTGACATTTCATCTAAATAATGCATTTATTCTGGTTCTCTCCACCCCCGTGGTAAGCACCCTCATCAAAGCCATTACATTTCCTTCTCTAACAACCTACTAACTTTCTAGGGGAGGCTTCATCATTCTTTTTCAATCCAATCTCACAATGAACTAGAGTAATTTTTATAAAGCACAAATGTAATCTCAAAGCTACCAGTCTTGAATCTTCTCTATGGCCCACCACTTTTCATGGGAAAAAGACCACAACCCTTATTCCAGAGACTAGAATCCTCATGATCTGCCCCAAACAGTCACTGAGGACTCTTTCTCACTTATATCTAAATTACTTATCACCTGCCTTCCTGCATCAAGGACTTTCCTTAGACTGTTTCTCTGTTTGTTTATTTCCCCTAGAGTTATATTTCTACTCCATAAAATAGTTAGCTTTATAAACTCCCACTCAAATAGTACCCACTCTTTAAGTAAACCTTCCCAGAGCTTCTAGATTACATCATCATGGACTATCTATCTTTAGAGAATTTATCACAGTTTGTTATTCTGTAACTCATTGATAGTTTGTTAACATCTGGTTCTTGGGCTGCTCAAAAGCCAAACACCAGAAACAAGGTTGATGGGAGGAAAAGTAGGTTTATTTGGAAAGCCAGCAAAACTGAGAAGATGGTAAACTAGTGTTCTAATGTACCTTCTCCAATTTTTCAGGCTGCCCAGAGAGTGTTTATGGGAGGAACATATACAGAAGAGGAGGGTGTTGGTATCAAAAGGTGGATAAGGACTATAGACATCTGGGGACCAGGGAGGGTCTAAGGAGTTGCGAACTTTGTCCTTGTCAGGCTACAACTTTCCTGGAAATCTTTAATAAAACATAGTTGCTTATGCACTTCTCCTTTAATCCCAGAGTAAAAACTATACGATTGCTATTTTTGCATTATTATCTCAGTGCTTTAAGATGATCCTAGCCCACGTACAAGAATAGGTAAAGCCGCTTAACAGAATGGAGTTAGTTATGTGAGTTTTTCTGCTGTTTCCCTCTTAAACAGTAAATACTTCCTACATTTTTATCAAACTCCTGCCTCTAGCTCCTCCACACAGTGGACTATCTTCTTAAATAATTTGTTTTCTAGTCAGTTCCCTCTCTTGATCACCTGAACTATTTATACTACTCTCTGCTTTCCTAATGTTCATATAACATAAATTTACCACTGTGTGAGGCATGGGTTTCTTCTGCTCAATTCCTAAAATACAGAAAAGCTCAATCGATTAGGATCAATTTCGTAATAGGAATGTTGTACGTTATGGTGTCTGAAATCACCTCTAATGGGTAGACAAGCAATTTAAACATTATGGATTAAATGGTAATATGTGCTTCCCAATGTGCTGTCTGCGGATGAGTAGGTATATGAATTTTTTATGACCAGTGTGTAATGGAAATAAGTGTTTTTATAGAAATTCTTCCAGCAGTCTGTTGGTTTAATCCCTGTTGGAGTTAATAAGAATCAGAGCTTGAACTTCATATGTCTTTTAATCACATTTTTTAGTAATTCTTTTTATTATGTTTTACAAAAGTATCAGTCCATGATTAATTGGAACTAAAAGCAAGTGATCCTTCCCCACAAATAGAAAATCACTAGTTTAGTAGAAATCTCAAAATTCCAATACCCGAATGTGATCATTTGAGCTCTTCCAACCTTCACGTCTCATGGCCTTTCCACCCTGGCTCATGACAGTCCCACTCTTGTCGCTTCTTGGGTCAACGCACTTAGTGAGACTGTTGATGCTGGTTTTCCTTCCACACCCCACATCTGATTTCCCTGCAAATGTCACCAGCCCTACCTTCAAGTTATACACAGAAGACCACCCCCACTGCTGCCTCCAGGCACATATCTTCCTACAGCAATTGCATTTTGCACTTGCATTTTGGTTTTTGTTTTTTGTTTTTATTATTTATTTTTTATTATACTGTAAGTTCTAGGGTACATGTGCACAATGTGCAAGTTTGTTACATATGTATACATGTGCCATTTTGGTGTGCTGCACCCATTAACTCGTCATTTACAGTAGGTATATCTCCTAATGCTATCCCTCCCCCTTCCCCACACCCCACAACAGGCCCTGGTGTGTAATGCTCCCCTTCCTGTGTCCAAGTGTTCTCATTGTTCAATTCCCACCTATGAGTGAGAATATGTGGTGTTTGATTTTCTGTTCTTGCAATAGTTTGCTGAGAATGATGGTTTCCAGCTGCATCCATGTCCCTACAAAGGACATGAACTCATCCATTTTTATGGCTGCATAGTATTCCATGGTGTATATGTGCCAACATTTTCTTAATCCAGTCTATCATTGATGGACATTTGGGTTGGTTTCAAGTCTTTGCCATTGTGAATAGTGCCACAATGAACATACATGTGCATGTGTCTTTATAGCAGCATGATTTTTTTTTTTTTTTTGAGATGGAGTCTCGCTCTGTCACCCAGGCTGGAGTGCAGTGGCTGGATCTCAGCTCACTGCAAGCTCCGCCTCCTGGGTTCATGCCATCCTCTTGCTTCAGCCTCCCGAGCAGCTGGGACTGTAGGCGCCCACCACCTCGCCTGGCTAGTTTTTTGTATTTTTTTTTTTTTTTAGTAGAGACGCGGTTTCACCAGGTTTAGCCAGGATGGTCTCAATCTCCTGACCTCGTGATCCGCCCGCCTCGGCCTCTCAAAGTGCTGGGATTACAGGCTTGAGCCACCACACCCGGCCATGATTTTTAATCCTTTGGGTATATACCCAGTAATGGATGACTGGGTCAAATGGTATTTCTAGTTCTAGATCCTTGAGGAATCACCACACTGTCTTCCACAATGGTTGAACTAGTTTACAATCCCACCAACAGTGTAAAAGTGTTCCTATTTCTCCACATCCTCTCCAGCACCTGTTGTTTCCTGACTTTTTAATGATTACCTTTCTAACTGGTGTGAGATGGTATCTCATTGTGGTTTTGATTTGCATTTCTCTGATGGCAAGTGATGATGAGGATTTTTTCATGTGTCTGTTGGCTGCATAAATGTCTTCTTTTGAGATGTGTCTGTTGATACCCTTTGCCCACTTTTTGATGAGGTTGTTTTTTTCTTGTAAATATGTTTGAGTTTTTTGTAGATTCTGGATATTAGCCCTTTGTCAGATGGGTAGATTGCAAAACTTTTCTCCCATTCTGTAGGTTGCCTGTTCACTCTGATGGTAGTTTCTTTTGCTGTGCAGAAGCTCTTTAGTTTAATTAGATCCCATTTGTCAATTTTGGCTTTTGTTGCCATTGCTTTTGGTGTTTTAGACATGAAGTCCTTGCCCATGCCTATGTCCTGAATGGTCTTGCCTAGGTTTTCTTCTAGGGTTTTTATGGTTTTAGGTCTAACATTTAAGTCTCTAATCCATCTTGAATTAATTTTCATATAAGGTGTAAGGAAGGGATCCATTTCTACATATGGCTAGCCAGTTTTCCCAGCATCATTTATTAAATAGGGAATCCTTTCCCCATTTCTTGTTTTTGTCAGGTTTGTCAAAGATCAGATGGTTGTAGATGTGTGGTATTATTTCTGAGGGCTCTGTTCTGTTTCATTGGTCTAGATCTCTGTTTTGGTACCAGTACCATGCTGTTTTGGTTACTGTAGCCTTGTAGTATAGTTTGAAGTCAGGTAGCGTGATGCCTCCAGCTTTGTTCTTTTGGCTTAGGATTGTCTTGGCAATGTGTGTTCTTTTTTGGTTCCATATAAACTTTGAAGTAGTTTTTTCCAATTCTGTGAAGAAAGTCATTGGTAGCTTAAGGGGCGTGGCATTGAATCTATAAATTACCTTGGGCAGTATGGC